TATTGAAAGAGGTGAAAAGTTATAGTGGAATTCTTGTATATCAAGAAGTCTTTGTGTATAGTTATGTGGGTCATTTCATCTGAAATAGGGAAGTTTCACAGAAGAGAGGGCATTTGGTCAAAATCTTTTTTTTTAAAGATTTTTATTTATTTACTCATGAGAGAGAGAGAGAGAGAGAGGCAGGCAGAGGGAGAGGCAGAGGGAGAAGCAGGCTCCATACAGGAAACCTGGTATGGGATTTGATCCCGGGACTCCAGGATCAGGCCTTGAGCCAAAGGCAGACGTTCAACTGCTGAGCCACCCAGGCATCCCTGGTCAGAGTCTTAAAGGATAATTTCAGCAATGCTATCAAGGAAAACAGGGAAAATCTCAGATTCTGCTATTTTTTTTTTTTTTTGGAGGAAAGAAACATTTTAATTAGCAGAAAGACTCTGAAATACTGGCTGCATTTTCAATCCTGATAAATTTATCTTTGTCCTTTCCTCAGTGTCCTTAAATGTAAATTAAGAAGGTGAGTGATCTGATCTGTACAGATCCAGCCAATTCTAATATTCTAAGAGTCTATGTACCTAAGAATGGAAATCTGCAAGGAATAAATTATGAAAGGAACAAAATGCTCTTCCTACCAGATGCTAAACTTGAACCAGGACCAATGCATTTATTTTGGTATGTTTTCTTTCTCTTACCATTGGACTTCATACATGTGGAAGGGAGTTGAGAAGAGAACAGGGAAAATATGGTTTTACTGAGCAAAAAAATATGATTTTGGTCATTGGCAGAGATTTTTAAAATTCCACAACATCTAAATGAATAAACACTGGCCAAATCTGCTGCCCTCTTCCTGTACTTGTTTGATTTCTAATAATAATTTCTATTTTCAATTGCTTTTATTTTTATTTTTTTTAAGATTTTATTTATTTATTCATGAGAGACACAGAGAGAGAGGTAGAGACACAGGCAGAGAGAGGAGCAGGCTCTAATTAGGGAGCCAGACATGGGACTCGATCCCAGGACTCCAGGATCATGCCCTGGGCCAAAGGCAGGTGCTAAACCACTGTGCCACCCTGGGATCCCCTTCAATTGCTTTTAAAACATATTTTGGAAGCCAGTAGGTCCTTTGAAAATCTTATGAGGGGATCCCTGGGTGGCTCAGCAGTTTAGTGCCTGTCTGTGGCCCAGGGAGTGATCCTGGAGACCCAGGATCGAGTCCCACATTGGGCTCCCTGCAGGGAACCTGCTTCTCCCTCTGCCTGTGTCTCTGCCTCTCTTTCTCTCTGTGTCTCTAATGAATAAATAAATAAAATCTTTTAAAAAAAGAAAAAAAATCTTATGAAATATATGGGCATCATCTGACACACACAAAGCAAAGTACACACATTCAAGAAGTAATGCATAAAACTTGCAGAAGTTCCCCAAATTTTAAGGGCCATGGTTCCAGAACAAGTTAATAATGTGACTTACAATTTACAGAGGGCATTTTTAAATCTGAACACTTGTATCTCTGTGAGTGAAGCAATATTAGCCCCATCTTACATATGAAGAAATTGGACCTCAAAGGAGTTTACTACTCATCTTTTTCTAGGAAGGGAAAAGAAAACAATAAAACTGCTTTTCTTCCCCAGAGTATTAGTGGTCCCCAAGGCAAGGAGGAGGGAAATCAATGCCCAGATCCTACCCAAGATTGATTCTCTAAGGGGAGACCCCTTTGTCCCAAAGAAGATGGGACACCAAAGGGTTGTATCTTTTCCCACTTCGGAGGCTACAAGAAAATGGCTTTGTTGCTGAGCCCAAGCTTGGGTAGGAAAAGACTGAAAAGTTGTAGCAAGTCACACTCAAATTTGCACCCTTCCTTCACATCGCTGAATTTGGTTGGTCCCAAAAAATTGCAACTTCTGAATTTATTTCGAAATAGTCCTAAATGGGCGATGCCATTGAGCACATGGCATAATCAAATGTATATTCTCTCTGGAGGAAAGCAGCTTCATCTTAAACCATAAAGGATTGCACATATAATTTTTCAAATATATGAGCAGCACACAGTCAAAAATAGTCAAGCACACAAGCAAGGCACCATGCATAAGATCCTTTAAAAGCAGTAGGACACATACACAATATAATTAGATTTTCACAGAGTTCTGAGGTCATAATCGTGAGACTCAGGGTATAACACAATTATGCCTAGTATGTTGTTATTGTTAGTTGTTGTTTGAATAGCTGGGGAAGGGTATTTTTAAAAAGTTCTGGAGAGAGCCCACTTCTGATTGGAGAAAAAGGATAAGGAATAGGAAACCATTAAAAGTAATCTCAAAAAAAGATAGTCTAGCACATTTGAAAAGGAATGTCTATGAAAATTATATAACCAAAATTAAGCACCCAGTAACTGATTAAATACAATTAAATACAGAATAAATGAACTAAAAATAGGTCAGAAGAAATTACCCAGAATGTTACACGACAAATAAAAATATGGAAAATATGAGCATTAGGAGATTTACAGGATAGAATGAGAAGGTCTGGTGTACACGCCATTGAAGTTCCAGATGGAGAAGGAGACAGAATATTTATTATGCCTCTTCTATCTCTTTGTTTTTTAATTATAAAATTAAGCATGCATGAAAGAAAAAACTCGATAAATAATACTATAAACCCTATACACCCATCATTCAGACTCCACAATTACTAAGATCGGGCCACATTTGTTCATTTTCTTTCTTTTTCTTTACGTCTTTCTTTGTTGCTATGTTTTAAAGCAATTTCCAGAGTTCATATCGCTTTTGCCCCCAGAGGTAGTTTTTAAATATTGAATGGCTGAGAATTTTCCAAAACTAATAAGAAGATAGCATCTACACAGACTCAAAAATTCCAACTGTTCCCAAGCAAGATAAACAAAAAGAAATCCACATATGGACACTTTGTACAGAAACCACAGAGTATCAAGACAAAGAGAAAATCTGAAAAGTGGCTTACCTAACTTGCTTATGGCCACGTAGCCAATAAAAAAGACAGTCAAAGCCTCCTTTTGGGGTCATTTCATTCCAAATTCAGTATCTTTCCTCAATACTACATGTAGAGCAAGGCAAAAGAGCCCACAAGTGAACACTGAGCTGATTGGAAGTAGGCAGTGCATACAGGCTTATTAAGCGACTCACCTTGGAATAACCATAGTCCCTAACTGACCAATTACAACCAGGCATAGTTCCAAAGATTACCAAAAAAAGGAGAAATTCCATACATCCCCATACTCACTCACTGTGGCTCTTCACCACTGCCTGTCGCAGACAGTCTCTCCATTGCTGTGCGGCTCCCTGCTCCCTTTTTATGTCTTGGGTGACTTCGTTCACTGCCTGCAAGGTTGGCCTCCACCTAATCTGGTTGTCTCACACTATATTAATCCTCTATCCTAGAAACCCTTCTTTCAGAAACCATTCAGAGAGCTAATATATCTACATTGTCCTGCGATGTATGTTAGATATATTAACCCGAAGAACTAGACCCAAAGAACTAACACCCATTCCTTGACTGGTCTGTTTTTAACTAAGGATTGGGATTGGTCAGGGACTTCAGAGCTTCATGAGTTTGTGTCTTCATTTTATAGATGAGAAGAGTGAGCCTCATGTGAAGAGATGCAGCTAACATACCATTACCCAGATATTTAGAAATCTTATGTTTATGATAAAAACAGCTAACTTTGTCCAAAATTTCTGAAGTGAGCTAGCTACAAGGAAGTTTTTAACAAGATGGGGAAAAAAATGTTCCATATGACTGGAGAAACTTGGGTTGTGTCAATATTTCTTTCCATAATCTCCTAACGAGAGAAAGAAATTGGATGTCCTTATAAAAAAGCAATCAAAGAAGTAAATGAATATCTTCTCCCCGGGAAGGTTAGAAACAATCAAAGAACTGATAGAATAAAAGCCACTAACAGCTGAGGGGTAAAGACGTGAGAGAAGACAATAAAGTGACATTGAATTTCAGCCTAGTCCACACATTGTTGGAAAGTGTGAGCTGTGCACAACATTTAATCAAACGCTATACGAAAGATTGGGATTCAATGATTGATGAGTTGAGGATTCACCAAAAATTTACCAGCAATTTTTTAAAGACATATATTTCAAATTTTTAGGGAACTTCACATTTGATGGGGCCCCTGGGTGGCTTAGTCCCTTAAGTGTCTGCCTTCAGCTCAGGTCATGATCCTGCATCAGGCTCTCTGCTCAGCGGGGAGCCTGCTTCTCCCTCTCCCTCTGCCAGCTGCCCCACCTGCTTGTGCTTGTGCTCTTTCTCTCTGTCAAATAAATAAACAAAATCTAAATATTAAATGAAGGGCAGCCCCATGGCTCAGCGGTTTAGCGCCTGCCTTAGCTCCTGCCTTTGGCCTGGGCTGATCCTGGAGACCCTGGATCCGAGCCTGCTTCTCCCTCTGCCTGTGTCTCTGACTCTCTCTCTCTCTCTCAAAAATAAATAAATAAAATATTTTAAAAAATAATAATAAAAGAAGATCTCACATTTGAAAATATTCACATTCTTAACATAGAAATTTTAGGAAATATTGGGCAGCCCTGGTGGCGCAGCGGTTTAGCGCCGCCTGCAGCCCAGGGCGTGATCCTGGAGACCCTGGATGGAGTCCCACGTCAGGCTCTCTGTATGATGCCTGTTTCTCCCTCTGCCTCCTTGTGTCTCTGCCTCTCCCTCTCTCTCTCTCTCTCTCCCTGAATAAATAAATAAAATCTTTAAAAAAATTTTTAGGAAATATTGACAATTATATACGATAAAATAAAAAATCATCAGTAATTCAGTAACTAAGAGTTAGCCACCAGTAATGTGTTATTGCTTCCTTCTCAGCCTTCTATGTACATAAATATGTTTTTACAACTATCACTGTGACAAGTACCCTCATTTATAAATCTAAAAACAATTCTGTTTATATCCTCTGAATGTATTCCCTAAGGTTATAAAGATATACAATAGTAGAGTTATTAAGAGATTGGGCTTTCAGGTGCACCTGGTTGGCTCAGTCGGAAGAGTGTGTGACTCCTGATCTCAGGTTGTGAGTTCAAGCCCCACATTGGGTGTATAGATTATTAAATAAATAAATTTTTTAAAAAAGAGAGAGATTGGGCTTCCAGTCAGAGTTGTCATTGAATACCAGCTTTGCCACTTATGAACTTATATAACTTCTCCAGGTCTCAGTTATCTCCTCTGTGAAAAAGGAAAAGAGGAATGTGAAGAAATGAAAAATGTAAAAAATGACCTACTTCATAGGTTAATAGTGAAGATGAAAATAATTGAATGTACAAATCTTGGGATACATACAGTAGATAAACAAGTTATTGTTGTCTTTAGATAACAGGGCCACGGGGACTTTTAATGCATTTTGTATGCTTTTTTTACACATCGTATTTTCTAAATTGAAAAGCATCTATTGCTATGGGGGTGCCTGGCTGACTCAGTTGGTAGAGTTTGTGACTTTTGACCTCTGGGCTCGTTCAAGTCCCATGATGTAGGTAGAGATTAGTTAAAATAATAAAATGAAGTGGTTAAAGTGGCAAATGTTATGTGTACTTTACCCTAATAATTTTTTTTTTTTAAAGAATCTGCTGGGACACCTGGGTGGCTCAATGGTTGAGTATCTGCCTTTGGCTCAGGACGTGATACTGGAGTTCTGGGATCGAGTCCCATATCGGGCTCCCTGCATGGAGCCTGCTTCTCCCTCTGCCTATGTCTCTGCCTTTCTCTTTCTCTCTGTGTCTTTCACGAATAAATAAAATCTTTTTCAAAAAAAGAAAGTATCTACTGCTATTATTACAGAAAAACATTATTCTTTTTAAAAGATAACACTACTTCTTTAATGGGGCATAAGTCATATTTCCATTTTTCTCTCTCTCTCTCTGCAACACAAAAGACCCTAGAAATCTCTTTGTTTTTAAGACTTGTAGAAAAATACTAATAGCTGACACTTGTTGATTGCATACTATAACCAGGAGCTTTATAGTATTGTGCCAAGGGTGGGGCAGTGGGAGTAGCTAATGACATATAAGGTGCATTGTCTATAGAGAATTTTCAAAAGTAATCAAGCTTTATCTGCCTGCTTTTTATTATTACCATGTGCCTGAAATTTTGAACAATGTCAGTGATGAAATTGCTCTTCTCTAAAACATCTTTGGTTGGACTACCTTCTAAACTGCTTGCTGAGTTTTAAGAATATGTATATATATTATATTAGATGTATATATATAACCTTATAGATGTTTATTATATAATATGCATATAAGATACGTATTATATAATATATATTTTATATATATACTTCATATTAGCAAAAGTTTATTACTTGTCTCTTAACAAACATTGTATTCCAAAATAGAAGTTAATCCAAAGAAACCGTACTTGCACAGTCAACCGTGATACATGTAGACACAGCTTCATGGGTTTGCTTCAAGAGTAAGTTCATAATGGTTAGGAATTGTTCAAGCTCATTTAGGGCAGTGTTCCTCTTTATAGCCCCTTGGTAGGACACACCCCTACATTTAAACAGCAAGTACAAATAAACAATAACAGCACAGTCATTCAAAAGGTAAAGAAACAAAACTAGATTAATTTAATGCAATCATTTTATGTCACAGTTTGGGTTTTTAGTTATAGTTTAAAACTTCAAACAGGGGGGATCCCTGGGTGGCTCAGTGGTTTGGCGCCTGCCTTTGGCCCAGGGTATGAACTTGGAGTCCTGGGATCCAGACCCACGTCGGGTTCCCTGCATGGAGCCTGCTTCTCCTTCTGCCTGTGTCTCTGCCTCTCTCTCTCTCTCTCTGTGTGTCTCTCATGAATAAATAAATAAAATCTTAAAAAAAAAAAAACTTCACACAGGGATGCCTGGGTGGCTTAGTTGGTTAAGCATCTGCCTTTGGCTCAGGTCATGATCTCAGGGCCCTGGGATTGAGCTCCCTGCTCATTAAGGAGTCTGCTTCTCCCTCTCCTCCGCCCCATCTCGTGTACTCTCTCTCTCTCTCAAATAAATTTAAAAATCTTAAAACAAACCTCAAAATAGTAAAACTGTGAACTGCAAGGTACAATACCTTGGTGAATAAGTGTATATTTTTCAAACAAAATACACCTTTTAGTTCTTAAAAATTGAAATTTATTTTTTAATTGTTTTGAAACAGAAAAATAAATTAGAAAATGATTATTAGTGATAATAACTTTGTCACCTAGAGAGGTGCATTAAAAATTACCTGTTCCAGGCACAAATATGCCCAATACACCATTGTAAACCTGCCAAGTGCTCTCTGCCTTTTAATAATCACAATGCAATGTCGCAGACTAGGACAAGACCCACAGCTAGTAATATGCAAAGCTGGTGATGAAACCCACATTTGTCTGACTCCAGAGCCCAAGATTGCAACCAGTGTGTCAGGATATTTGCATTGCTAACAAGAAAGGCAAAGTAAGGAATAGAAGTTGTTGTGTTTCAGGCTTCTTTTGAAAAAGAAGCCTTACCTCAGGGCAGTTCATTACTTTTGCCTTGAACCTTGGCTCCTAAGATTGTAAATTATCTCTACCAACACTCTCCTAAACAATTACCTAAGGGCCTGAAAGAGTTTATGCACCTTCCCACAGGAAACAATTTACTTTCTTTTCCCAGGAGTAAAAGCCCCATTAAGCTTCTAAATAAGATATTTTTTTCCCTATTACCTGGTTGCTTTAATAGATGTTTAATTTGTTTTTCGAAATAACATTAAAATAATATAGAGGACCTATTTTCAGAGTTTAGAAGAGGCTACAATGATGAACCAAATGGGCTTTCTCAATAGGTTGAGAAACCAGAAGGCATTTATGTTCACTCTATATTAATGTGCCTTGACATTTACTTCTTAAAAAGGCTCCAGCATTTCCAGTGTTTTTAAATGCAAAACTGTTCTCAAGCCACAACTTTTAGTTCCATTGCGACATTATCCTTTCCTTTTACCTGAAGTCATGAATGAGCTGTGCTTGGTGATACGTGAAGAAAATTGCTGATGTCAGAAAAAGGACTGGTTATAGAGTCAGAACTTTAGTGCTGGAAGTGCTGGGATCAGGTTACTGATGTCTCTCCTCTGGCAGAATTTCACTAGAACTTTCAGTAAGGTGTCACTATAAGGACTTACATCACATGAAGCATTTGTGTGACAGAAAGAGGGGCAGGAAAAAGAAACGCTAAGAATTCAGATTTAAACATTTGTTGAGGAAAAGTTACATTTCATGAAGGTTCTCATACTTTCCCCTTCACAGTGACCTAATGAAAGAGTTTTATTGATCCCTATTTTATAGACTGGAATACTGCTGTTAGCAGAGACGCTAAGGGACTTGCCCAAGGCCTCACAATTAGTAAATGGCAAAATGGGTATACAAACCCATCTGTCTCAAGTCCAGAGATCTTTCGACTATGCTGTATAGCTGCCTCCTATGCCATGGCCACTTCTGTCCCTAAAGAAAGTGGTGAAGAACATGGGCTATGGAGTCAGACAGCTTGGCTCTAGATGCCAATCCTACCACTTCACAGCTATGGGATGGTGGGCAAATTATCACCTCATAGGTCAATGACAGTGAGTGAGCAATGCCTATCAAATATTCCATTTCTCCTACATTTCTTCCCCCTTACTGTTCTGTGAGGACACGTACTAGCTAATGAAATACAACCAAAAGAATAAGTGTCCTTTCTGGGCTAAATCAGTGAAAAGTCCATGGGTAATTATCTAATGCTTTCTTTTTTTAAAGAGAGATTTATTTATTTATTTATTTACTTACTTATTTATTTATTTGAGAGAGAGCAAGAGAGCAAGAGAGCATGTGCAAATGAGTGGAGGGAAGGACAGAGGGAGAAGGAGATATACAAACTCCCAGTGGGGCGGAGGCTGACTCAGGGCTCAATTCCAAGACCCTGAGATCCTGACCCAAGCTGAGATTGAGAGTTGGCCGCTTAACCAACTGAGCTGCCTAGGCACCCCATTATCTCTTTACTTTGAGAGATCGAAAGACCTGAAGTTTTACAAGATGCAGTTAAAATCCGTTCAAACTTCCAGAAATTTGGGTACCCGAATAATTCCATGGAGCAGTTACAACCATCGTCTCCCATCTGAGCCACACACCATGTCATAAATACTGTGAGGGCAAAGGAAACCTTTGTTCTACTAAACCACTTAGATCTGAAGGTAAATTTGTTGTAGCAGCATAGTCCAGACTGTCTAGATCACTTTTTTTTTTACATCTCATTTTCCTACTCTCTAAAACAGCCATAATAATTTTTACTTAACTGAATTATCTTGAGGATGAAATGAGACTTTTTATAGGCCATACCTGAATGCATCGTCAAACTAGGAAGAGGTAGGAGGAAGGAGTTGAGTATATGGCAACCTGGGTGAATCACTGTCTCTCTGCTTTTTCCAAAAGTAAAGGAAATTAGACTACATATATGATATTCAAAGGTTTCTTGCCACCAAGTCAATGTTCTGCTACTCCTCTAAATTTCTCCTTGACTTCAGACTTCCATCATTCAGTTGTTTGACTCAAGTTAATTGGTGACTATTCCCTGTCAAATGCTGTGTTAGGAGATGACCAAGAACAGGTCATGAGAAAGGGCAATTTGGATATTCTCTAAATCCAAACTGAGGATAGGGCATACATTTTCTGGGAATGGAGAGAAAATGATCTGAAGAAACTTAGCATAGTCTCTCTTTCCTACTTTTGAAGAAACCATAAATGAATCTCTCCAGGAAGGAGTCTAGGGAAGCTGGTGATAGTCATGAGAAGGCCCTTTGGGAAGGGAACAGCATGTCATTTTTGCTTTAGTACTCTTTTAAAATGTCTTTCTATATCCCTGCAACTAGCTGAGGGGGAGTAAGAGAGCAAAGCTGTCAGACCAGCAGCATCTTAATTATGGAGATTAGAAATATTTTATGCAATTGACACAGCCTCTTCTAAATTACATAGTATTAGGGAAAATGACTCTGTCTAGTGCCAATGAAGAAGGAAGAAAGGAGCTCTGAGAAAAAGAACAGGTGGATTTTGACAGTTTGTCCAATAAAATAATAATAGTTGG